TAACTGTTTTGAGTTTTAGTACATGTATTTTAATTTTTTTAATTATTTAATTAGGCCTTTGTTTGAAAGGTTAATGTAATGGCTTAGATGATAATGATGATGATGGAAAGACATAAAATTGGATTTGTATAAATCAATTTATAAATTTTGATGCCAATATTCAATTTATAAATCAATGTGTTGTGAACAACACTACTCAGAGCAATGTATGAGGTATTAAGATCATGCGTAATGGATGAGGTAATTTGGAAGTAATTAGAGCAATGTACAATGCCATGGACTAAAAGCATACCCTTATATCGACAACAGTGACATAAAGTTATACAAAAAGCACAAATGAGGGCATCTACGTTTTCTGTTTTTAAATAGCCGAAAATGTTATATTTTCGATTGTTCAAATTCCAAAAGCTTGTTGGAATTGTATCTGCGTTTTAGAAAATGCAGTTGCAAATTCCAGAAGCTTGTTGGAATATGCAGTTGTATTTTTGGCTGTTGAACAATGAAAACTTATGCATTTTTTGTTGTTGTGTTGAACAACTGAAAATTATGCATTTTTGGTTGCTCAACAATCGAAAATGCAGCTGCAATTTCAGCAAGCTTATGGAATATACAGTTGTATTTTTGGTTGTTTAACAACCGAAATTTATACATTTTAGGTTGTTCAACAATCGAAAATTGGATTTGTTATTGATTTTTAACACCATTAAAAAATTGGAAAATTGTTATGTCATCGACATTTCCCAAAGTATGATCTCCACCTATTTTAACAAATACGTCACATTTTCTATTATGTGTAATGCATGTAATGATGCGTACATAGCACCAAGTACAAAAACACCATCTTGGGGGGCATCATCTTGCCCCGAGTACAACCTCGAAGGTTGGCTCGTGCATTCAAAGAAGGAGTGGATAGAATGGTGCTCGAAGGGGACTTCATCGAGTACCATGTGGTCAGAGGCTTCGGAGTAGATTAGGGCGTATTTAGTTGCTCTTTTCCCTCATAGCCAGCAACATCATGGGACTTGCGTGTGTGTTCATAGTCCATAGAAGTGCTTGGGATGGTTTGTGATCCAACCCCTAGTGAACTAAAAGGCTTGGTATTTGAAATATCTGTCGTCATAATTGGGGCATCCTTAGAGCCATTAGCATGCATGTGCAGTTCTTTAGGAGACCTTTGATTGATTTGAAGGTCGTGTGGTCATTTGGGTACAGCCTTTGAGCTGCCCTAAGCTAAGAGATTATCACGCAATGCATTAGTGGTTCGGGGACCACTTGTGAGGGGTCTGGGTCTCAAAAGACCCAAAGTAGGTGAGGTAAACGGGGTAAGCTTTTACTTGCCCTGTTTTGTCATGGCAATGGCTGAACCATCAGCCATGATGTTTGTGAGTGTGTGAGGAGTGACTTTGGAGCCACTCGAACAACATGAACTATCATGGAATTTGTCAGCATGAAGTGTGTGTAGCAACATACTGACATTAGCAATGCCCATGTAGAATGAGGGTGGGGTAGCCTTACAGTTACCCACAGAAATGGTGGTCTTAGAAGAACCTACCAAGTAAGGAGAAGAAGTGGCATCAGAACCACCTTTAAGTTTAGGACTGGCAGAGTGTACGTCAATAACATAGTGCATATGAAAGGAGGTGGTTTTAGAACCACCAATGCAGTTGACATCTACAAACTTTCTTTTAATGTCGGAAGGGAGGGTACAAGGGGTTTGCATACCCTTTCTCAGAGTTCCCGTAGCTTGAGCTAGGGTAGTAGGGCCAGCCAGGCCGCTCAAGGGGTACATGGAAGAAGCAGAACTAATTGTTTTGCTTCCCATGGGTGAAGTCACAATATGGGGATGATGAAAACCCCAATTTGGACGAAAGAGGAGCGATTGAAGTCCATTGCAATTTTAGATGAAGAAATAAGTGAAATGTTTGTTCGTAAACAGTTCGTACCAACTATAGTGTGGCGTATCCCTAGTGGAGTCGCCAGTTGGTCGGGGGCCTAGTCTTCACTTGGTCGTCCTCCTCGCGTCTGTTGGCGCAGGGGAGAGAAAAGACCCTCACTCGAACAATCGCAAGAGACCACACGCTTCCTTGGTGGGGTGCGTATGCTCTTTTTAGTGCGGATAGGGACCAACAGTGAGAGAGAGATTTTGGTCAACAAAGAATCGTTTAGATGCTTACCTTGCCGTTTGGGGTTCAGGGTTGCACCAGGACAGTCGCTTTCTTAGAACCATTACGAAACCCTCTGACTGTCCAACAACATGGTTTGGATGCGAACCCTCTCCAAACTCAACACGTCGCTTCGCTTCTTCGTCTCAAAAATCGTGGTGGAGGTTCATGTGAAATACTCCTCTCAAATGGATTATTTGAGTGGTCTGGCTGGGAAATAGAGCATGAAGAAAGAAAGGTGATGAAAGCTCTTTATCGCTCGAGTGTTACGAGACTTAGTGACCAGAGCAGTTGAAAGAGTCAAAACTCTACGTTATGCTAGCTCAAGATGACCATACCTAAGTGAGAGAGGGCAAGAGGATCTATATCTCTTGCAACTCAACTCGATTGTATAAAGTGGAAGTTAGAGCAGCAATATAAGAGTTAAAACTCTTAAAATGGCTCTAAGGAGCACTAAGTCAAACACACAATGATTAGAAGCGGCTACCAACACGCAAATAGAATTGGGAACGCTAGAGGATAAACTTGACGAGGTGAGGACAAGGGAAATGGGAGAGACAATCGTGTCTGCACAAAGGGGCAGCCACGAGTTCAAGTGTGAACAAGAGAGGGGGCGCGAAGACAAGAGGGATGCTAGATGGGAGTTCGCTCCAGTGTGTGTGCCCGAGCTTTAAGTGTGGATGATAGATAAAGAGGGGGAAGAAGACAAGAGGGACATGAAATGGGAGCACTATAAGGCGCGTACCTGTGTGTTGGGGAGAAGAAAACAAGGAGATAAGAGAGCGAAGAGGTAATGTCGTTTTTATGCGCAGCTACGTGTTTGGGAGAAGTAGAAATGAGAAAGACAAGGCTAGACGAGCTGGGTGAATTGGGTCCGCACAATGGTGCGGCTTGGGTTCTTGGGACGAGAGAAGAATAAAGGGGAAAGAGATAGGGCCGCTGGTAGTTGCAGCCCTGCGTTTCACATGCAGCACACAAAAGAGAAGGGATGAGAGAAGAAGGAGAAGGGGCAAGCCTCTGTCTATGGCAGCTCTGAAACTTGCATACAGAACAGGTAGAGAAGAGACGAAAGGAGAGAAGGACGGGCGTGCAGAGCCGGGGCCGCAGGTAGTTGCTACGTCGAACGTGCGTATGCAATTGAGAGGAGAAGAGACACAAAAAGAGAAGGGAGAGGAGATGGGGCCGCTGGCTGGGGCAGCCCTGAGTTCTGCGTATGGGGAAGAAGGGGCAGAGAGAAAGAAGAAAGAAAGAAAGAGAAGGGAAGAGGAGAGAGAGGGGGCTTAGGGCGTGTCCCCCCTATTGGCTTTCTTGAATGCACATGAGGGAGAGAAAGGCTAGGCTTAGGTCAAGGTTGGCGGGTGGTGTATGGACTAGGAGTGTACGCTAGGGTGTATGGTGTATGGTGTAGGATAAAAGGGTATAGACTAGGTTGTAGGTTGTGAGGACTACGGTTTACGGACTAGGGTGTATGGGCTAGGCGTATTTTCTCTCTGTACCAAAAGTTTCTCTCTCTTCACCACTTGATCTAGCATTTGGACTTTTACAAATGATCAAGTTTTCATAAAATGATCAAGCCCTTTTACAAATGACTTAAAGCCACTTAAATAGAGCAACCACAAATGAATGATCACGCCCTTTTACAGATGAATGATCATCAAATGAATGATCACCAAATAAATAGGCCACTTAAATAAAGCAACCACAAATGAATGATCACCAAAAATAATGAACTCAATTCACACTTCATTGCTCAAGTTTTCATAAAATGATCAAGCCCTTTTACAAATGACTTAAGGCCACTTAAATAGAGCAACCACAAAACAATGGTGGAATTCTCAAAACTAATCCAAATTGTAGAAATTACATATTAAATGAATTAAAACAAAATCTCTTTTGGATCAAATGACCAAAATACCCCTTAGTACTTTTCAACAAATGACAAAATCATCCCTCCATGAGGTGCCTCTTGTCATGGTTAGACTTCGGGAGCTTTTTCGAACGCTTGCGGCGGTAATTCGGGCGATTAATCGTCGTAGAATCGATGCTTGATCTATCACTATCATTTTGATGCCTTTTGATCGTCTTGAAACAGACTTTTCATGAAGAAGCAAAATCCGACCAAGTCCATAAATTTCGACTACCAATCCGGTACGATTCATGACATTCTGAGTCTTCATTTTGATCGCAAATTGAAGATGGCATCATCACAATCATTTTGCACTAAATTTCATCTGATTTGGTTTCCATTTTTGTATATTCTAAATTTGGGAAATCGCCGAAAAATGGGATTCCGACGACCAAAAAATCTTGCATTTTTTAACCTCAAACCTAATCTCTTTATTACAATGTCTTGCAATCCTAATTGGCCCGAAATCAAAGACAATTTGAACCCTGGTGACATAGCCTACAATCGACCAGACCTTACTACAAGACTAGAGGACCTCAAAAAGTATGTCATAAAAAATAATTTGTTTGGGAAAGTAATTGCATACATATATATCATTGAGTTTCAAAAGAGAGGTTTACTATATGCACATATGTTCCTAATTATGGCAACTAATGATAAGATACGAACAGTTCAGCAAGTTGATGCAAGCATTTTTGTCGAGCTACCCAATAGAAAGAAAGACCCCATATTATACGAACCGGTAATATAGCATATGATATATGGCCCATGTGGGCCCGGGAGGAAGAAATCACAATGCCATATCAATGGGGAATGCAGGTTCCACTATCCACAAAGTTTCTCAGAGACTACAGCTATAACATATGACAACTACCTAATTTATAAAAGAACATCAAATTGTGAGCCACACATGATAGACACAATGTCATCAATAACACTTGGATAGTCCCATACAATTCAAAATTACTACTCCGTTACAACTGTCATATAAATGTTGAAGTCTGCTCTAGTATAAAAGTGGTAAAGTACTCATACAAGTACATTTACATAGGACACGACAGAGTGCAAATAAAAGTTGTGCCGGAGGTTGAAGAAAGCATTATTAACGAGGTCCAAGAATTCCAGCGAGCAAGATGCGTGTCAACACCAAAGGCTGCATGGAGAATTTTTCATTTGATCTCAGTGGTATTATTATCGTCAAGCTAAAAGAAGACTCCAGCTGCAAGAAGACAATAAAATCTAATTTATTGTTTTTTATTTTATTGGATCTCATTTATATGTCAATATTTTTGTTATTAGAATGATTTTTTTTTTCTATCAAATGCGCATAATATAGTTTTGACATTAGAAAGCATACAACTAATTAAGAATATGTTCACTATAACAAAGTCGTTTGTTATGGTAGTGCTCCTTTTCATTTAGTACCTAAAAACTATATCATCGTTAGAGTTATGGTATAATATTATTGTCAATTATTCATCAGTCATAAGTTTATTACATTACATGACATTAATAACAAAAACAATAATAATATAACAACACGTAATTCAAGTAGTATATATAAAGTACATCCTTAGATGGTAATAACGATAATTTAACCCCTTTTTAAAAAAAAATTTATAATTTAACCCCTTTTTAATAATCTTTTAAGGGTTTCATGCCCTTTACTGATATTTTTCCCTTTTCCTATGTATTCTTAGTTCAATTCTTAGTATATATAAAGTACATCCTTAGATGGTAATAACGATAATTTAACCCCTTTTTAAAAAAAAATTTATAATTTAACCCCTTTTTAATAATCTTTTAAGGGTTTCATGCCCTTTACTGATATTTTGCCCTTTTCCTATGTATTCTTAGTTCAATTCTGGGTTATTTGGAAATTTTATTGTCGGGGCGGACAGAGATTGCTCTCGTAGCCAAACTACCTTTCCTGTCTCTCTCTCCGCCCATGACCCCAGCCACTTTCCCTCATGGCGAACTCCATCTCCATTTCTCCTCCTCTTCCTCAAACCTGTTTCAAAACCACTTCTGCAACTTCCAAAACCACCTTTCCATCCCCAAAGCTGGTTTCTCCAAAACTACATCCGGAAAACCCTCAAAGAGAAAACCCCCCTCGCTTACTAGAAACCATATCACTCATCGACCAATGCACCACCATGTCTGAGCTGAAGCAGCTTCACGCCAGGCTCTTCAAAACTGGTTTTTCAGAAAACCGCTTTGCCCAAAACCGCTTAACAGTTATATGTACTCGCCCCTGCATTAACGACATGGCCTATGCTCTCCAGCTCCAAAAGCACTCACCCCACAAAAGTGGTTTCATGGAAAACACCATTATCAAAGGTTTCATAGAAAATAACAGACCAAAAGATGCCATTCTCTTCTATCTCAGCCTTCACCAGAATGGCCTTGCACCAAAAAACAATTACACTTTTCCTCTACTCCTCAAGGCCTGTGCAAGAATTCTAGCCTTAGAACCAGGGAAACAGATCCAAACCCATGTTTTCAAATTGGGTTTTGCCTCTGATTTACACATAAACAACACTCTGATACACTTTTATTCAACTTGTGGGTACTTGGACTTGGCACAAAAGGTATTTGATAGAATGTTGGAGAGAGAAACTGTGACATGGAATGCTATGATCAATGGTTATGCTCAAAATGGGTTAGCTGAAGAGGCCCTCGAGCTCTTTCGAGCCATGCAAGCTGAAGCTCAACCTGATAGCATAACTGTGATAGCTGCTCTCTCTGCTTGTGCCCATGCTGGTGCTTTAGAGCTTGGAAAATGGATCCATGCATATATAGATAAGCACAAGATAGAGAGAGAAGTGGCTGTAGCCACTGCTCTAATAGACATGTATTCAAAATGTGGGTGCATCGAGAGAGGTTTCGAAGTGTTTGATGCCACCCCATTAAAGAATGCCGTGTGTTACACCGCCATGATCAATGGGTTGGCCATCAATGGCCATGGAGAGAGAGCAATTTCACTCTTCCACCAAATGCTTGAGAGAGAAATCAGGACTGATGATATAACACTCATAAGCGTGCTATGTGCTTGTAGCCACAGCGGGTTAGTAGAGGAGGGGCTTCGCCTTTTTCGCGAGCTTAGGGAGAGGTTTGGGGTGGAGCCACAAATGGAGCACTATGGGTGCATAGTCGATCTATTGGGTCGAGCTGGTTGGCTTGATGAGGCCTATGAGCTCATAAAAAACATGCCATTCAAGCCCAATGTGGTGTTATGGCGCACCTTGTTAGGCTCTTGCAAGGTTCATAAGAACCTTGAGTTAGGTCAATTGGTGATGAGAAAGATATTAAAATTGGAACCTTGGCACCATGGCGATTATGTTCTCTTATCGAACATATATGCATCAGCCCAAAGGTGGGTGGATGTAGTTAGGGTGAGAAAGTTGATGAAGCTTGAAGGCATAACGAAAGTACCAGGGTGCAGTATGATAGAGTTGAGAGGGAGGATTTACTCATTTACTGTCAAGGACAAGAGGCACCAACACTCTGCCGAGGTTTACGAGATGTTAGAGGAGATGGCTGAGAGGCTGAGGGCGGCGGGTCATCTTCCTAAGGTCTCTGAGGTTTTGATGGATGTGGAGGAGGAAGAGAGGGAAAGTATGTTAAGCCACCATAGTGAGAAGGTGGCCATTGCATTTGGCCTCATTAATACAGATCCAGGGACTCTGCTTCGGATAGTGAAGAACCTTCGGGTTTGTGAGGATTGTCACTCAGCTGTGAAGTTAATCTCAAAGATTTATGCCCGTGAGATTATAGTAAGAGATCGGAATCGGTTCCACCATTTTCGACAAGGGAATTGCTCCTGCGGGGATTACTGGTGAGAGAAGAGAGAGCAAGGAACGAAATTTTGGCAAAAAAGTAAATTGTGAAGAGCATGTCGAGTAATACTTCAGTGCTAATGAGTCATCCTTCCATAATCGATGGTTTTAGCTTCAAAAACTCACAATCATCTGACCTTCACGACTGCATCTGAGAATCTGTAGAGAGAGAAAAAAAAGAAGGAAATCCGGGCCTGTAAAAGATAATTGAAATGTTGTTGGAGCTCGAAATTCACATATTTGATGCAGAAATAAATTTTGCAGTGATTTGTAATGTGTTTTGGATCCTAAATCCTGGAAAATTAAGGCGGATGCATGCACTGTGAATTTAATTTTTTTTGTTATGAAACGATGTAAAGTACTTTGAATAAAGTTTAATGTATTCATTCATGTTATGAATGATTGTAATAAAGATTGTATACTATAAGACTACTCATCTTTGTTACCAGGAGCTGACCTATAAACACTTCAAAATATTGAAAATTGATGACCTAGATAATGCATTATAAGATATAATTTTTTTCAGACTTCGAATTTTTTTTTTTCATATCTATACATCTTGAGGTTAAGATATCGATTTAAAGGTTTTTTTTACATAAAAACAACATCTAATGCATTTTTTATATGGACCTTAATTTGATGGTTTAGGGCCTCAACATTATATAAACTTTTTCCTTTCTTAGTAAGGTACCGAAAGAAAAGGCTTCACTCGTAAATATTGGAATGCAATATGCTATGGCATTTTTCCCTTCTAAATGGGCTTAGAGGATGACGCTATTAAATGGACAGTCCAATCTAATAACGCAAATTTTAGCTTTAGACGTCTTTCATCCTTATTCTATGCTGTATTCTAATTCATTTATTTTTGCAAATACACTTAAGACCTGTGTTGTACTTGGTAATCCAAGACGCCAGTTTTTTTCGGAAAAGTATTGAGAAGATTGATCTTTGGTACAAGCTAGTCACATTAATTTTGAACATTGGAGGTGAAATGGTACAAGGTGGTCACATTAATTTTGAACATTGGATGTGAAATTGGGTGGCTACAATTATTTCATTGATCAAGCTCAAACTTCAAAAGAAATTTTTTCGAACTTTGTGACACATCCAAACTATCAAATTTCACATCAAGCGGTTGTAAGTATGTGTGACTACTATGCATCAAAAGTAAATGGTCTCATTGTATACCATCTTTTTTTTTTATTATTGGAAAATTGTTTGATAAGATTGCACTCCTATCAAAGTAAAGAAAAGTATACAATGAGACCATTTACCTTTAGTACATGGTGATCACAATTAATCTTGATCATTGGATGTGAAGTTGAGTGGTTGCATTTATTCCATTGACCAAACTCAAAATTCAAAATAAATTTTTTTGAACTTTGTGACAAACCTAAGCTATAAGATTTTACATCAAATGGTTGTAAGTAATTGTGACTTTCTTGTACTGAAGATAAATAGTCTCATTGTATACAATCCCAATAAATAAAACCTCACCTCAAAACTCATTAAAAATTGCAGTTCTGACGTCAAAAAACCTTCAAGTTGATTATCTTAGCCTTGACTATTATGGTTGTGAAAAAAATAGAATTTCAAGCCCGAAAATGATGTATATTGTAACGCATTATCTAGACTGTCCATTCGCCCTAAAAATAAGTGTGCACGGATCCGTAAGATCTATACCATTTTTTGAGCTCGAAATTTATAATCGATGTTGAAAATTGATTCTAGTGTCATTATGGAGATTTCCAACACCCAAATCACTTTCCGGGCATGGACCTGAGGTGAGGCTTACGTTGTTTCACAAAGCCTAGGCCTTAAAGAAAATGCAACCTTTTTTGTTTCACTGGCCCAAAACATGGACAGCATTTTATAATCCCTGAAAGATCAAGCTCCTTGGTTCTAAAAAAGCTCCACCTTCATTGAGGCCTCAAAATGTGATCTGGTGTCCATTTCTATAAAGATCAAAGAGTGATCTAAACATCAAGCTCCTTGGTTCTAGATATGCTCCATCTGAAACTTGATAATTTTCTCGGACTTTAAGAGCAGCCAAAAGTGATGTCCCAACTGTCCAATTTCAAATATGAGAGCTTGGGGTGATTATGACCTTCATCAAGGTAAACCGCCTCATTTCTTTCTTTTTCTTGTATATCATAAAAAGTGTGGTTTTTATGAAGTTGCAAACTTAAACAATCCAATTAAGTGCACCTCCAAATTTTATCATAACATGTAATTTTGATGTATAATTTTTTTAGGATTATCTCAAAGTCTATTTTTATTAATTATAAATTTTAAATTAAAAAAATAGCTAAAATCAAATAAATCTATAACTATATGAAAATCTTGAAACTCGACCGTCTAGATAATATATGACAAGACTCCAAATCTTTTATTTAATTTTTTTTTATATATTCATATATCTCAATGTCCAGAGATGATCAATTAGAAACAACGTTTTTTGATAGATTTTTAGGTGCATCTTTAATTATACATTTTAAGGTTGCAACCTTTATGTTTTTCATGGGGAACGGCAATGAGTTTCAAGCTTTTAAATAGTGGGGGACCTCTCTCTCCAAGGAGACACCATCCTGGATTATTAGAGAACTGACCTCACCCCCTCTCTCTCTCTCTCTCTCTCTCTCTCTCTCTCTCTCTCTCTCTCTAATTCATGGACCCCACCTCCATTATCCAAAGAGAAAATAAATAAAGCGGAATATTAACCATAGCCTCGTTCCCCCCTCTTCTCTCTCCACCAACCATGGACATCACCACCATCAACCACGCCATGCAACTCCATGCAAATTTACTAAAGACAGGCCCTTTCCACACCCAAACACCCTCCCTAATCAAACTCCTCACCTTCACTGCCCTCTCTCATCATGGGAACATCCACTATGCCCACGCAATCCTCACCTCCATACCTAATTCCACCTCTCATCTTTGGAACACCATAATCAGGGGCTATTCAATCAGCTCTGAACCCAAAGAAGCCCTCCTCCTCTTCTGCAAAATGTTAAACCAAGGATCCCCTTCACCTGATAACTATACCTACCCTTTCCTCCTAAAATCCTGCGCTCGCCTCCATGCCCCCGAAGAGGGCCGCCAAATCCATGCCGTCACTTTTAAAACCGATCTTCAATCTGACCCCTTCGTACAAAACTCTCTCATTTATATGTATTCTAATTGTAAAGAACCTGACGCCTCCCACAAAGTATTTGATAAAATGGACCATAGGGATGTGGTCTCATACACCTCGATGATTGCTGGCTATGTGGACAACAGACGTTCAGTCAAAGCCCTGGATTTGTATGGAAAGATGGAGAGGGAAGGCATAAGCCCTAATGAGGCCACATTGCTTGCACTTTTGGGAGCTTGTGCTAGCACCGGGGCTTTGAGTATTGGCCAAAAGATCCATAGGATTATTTGTAGAAAAAACCGTGGATGTGAGGCCAAGATTTTTACTGCTTTGATAGATATGTATGCAAAATGTGGATGCATAAGATGCTCAAAGAAACTATTCAATGAAATGCCTCGACGAGATGTTTTCTCATGGACAGCTATGATCGAAGGGCTTGCCAGCCATGGGCTATGTGAAGAGGCATTATTGTGTTTTCACAGCATGAAGGAGGAGGGATCGGAACCTGATCAGTTGACTTTCACAGCTATTCTATCTGCTTGCAGAAATGCAGGTTGATTTTTTCATTTTCCTATGTCAAAGTGATATTTATCTTTTCTCGTTTCTTTTTTTTAAGAAAACTCACACGAGTATTTAGTGATTTTAAAACAAGATATTCCCCTCAGTAATACGATTGCTTCTATTTTTCCTATGATTTGTTACAAAAATATATCTACAAGGTGGAAATTCAAGTCATAAATAATAAATAAGTTACAAATCTTTGAAATAGACAAACATTATAACTAAATAAAAAGAATATCAGTTGCGAACATTACAAGCTCATAGAACCGCACATTTAAAGAAACGAAGGTAATTTTTTGTTTTTTTTATTGTAAAAAACAAAAGGGAAATATATTTTTCCCATTTTCCTTCAAAAATTTTAGGCTCTTGACATTTTCTATAATTCTTTTCTTTTTTAATTTTTCTGGAGATACTTCCAAAATTTTGACAACAAAAGTTAATTTTGAAAGTATTTCGAGAAACTATTTTACCAATAAATTCTTAAATCATGATTTGATGAAGTACTATGTATAAAACACATGTTACTAAACCTGAAACAGGTTGGGTCGAGCAGGGCCGTCAAATTTTCGAAAGCATGCTGCCTGAATATGGTATCAAGCCAGAAATTCAGCATTATGGCTGCATGGTGGGTCTCCTAGCTAGGGCAGGGCTCCTTCAAGAAGCTGAGGAACTTATTAGAAATATGCCCATAAAGCCTGATGCAATTTTATGGAGGACATTAGCCTCAGCCTGCAAGACAAATGGCAACATTTCTCGAGCCGAGTTTCTAATAAAGCAACATCTTCTTGAGATTGAACCTAAAGAAAGTGGAAACTATGTTCTTCTGAGTAATATATACGCATCAGTTGGAAAATGGCAAGAGAAAGCAAAGGTTAGGAAGATAATGGGAAATAGAGGGATCGGAAAGCCACCAGGACAGAGCTTGATAGAGGTTGATGGAGTGATCCATGAATTCGTGGCAGGGGGATCAGACCATCCTGAGGCCCAAAATATTTACAGGAAACTGGAAGAAATTGGTAGAAAGTTGAGAACAGAGGGATATCATCCAAAGGTATCAGAGGTTTTACTTGACATGGATGATGAAGACAAGGAGTCCGCACTTTTACACCATAGTGAGAAGCTGGCAATTGCATTTGGGCTTATAAGCATGAGAAAAGGTTCGGAAATAAGGATTGTGAAGAACCTGAGGTCTTGTGAGGATTGTCACAATGCTGCAAAACTCATCTCAAAAATATATCAGAGAGAAATAATCATGAGAGATAGGGTCCGGTTCCACCATTTCAAAGACGGGTCATGTTCTTGTGGAGATAATTGGTGAAGGTCAAAGGGTATCATAGTGGTGGAGGAGAAGACTCAAGTGAAAGACTAGAATTGATGTGGTTTCATGGTTCGAATGGTGGATCAAGGATTATCCACTTAACCATAAAACGATGGTTATAGCATTGAAGATATTTGTTAGAAACTCTCAATAAAGAAATTACATAGGCAATTTTGGCCAACTGTCTCTCCTTTCAACAGACACGAGAGAAATTAAATAGGCAAAGTGTAAATCCTTCACATAAATCATGTTGAAGAGCTATAATTATCAGAAGACAGGCCTATATCCACTATTCTTAATGACTCATCCGAATATTACTACTGAGTAATAACCATCAGCAATTAAGTCGTCCAACCCACCTTTCTCAATTATGGGTATGTTTCTGGGGAAGGGGGGGGGGGAGGGGGGAGTGGAGGAGATGCTCCAAAATTCCGTATATCACTTTTCAACTGAACACAAAACCATAGGTACATATCAGAAAAAAAACAAGTCAAACAATCATGCTGTGCTTCATTAGGTGGGCAATATTTCTAATTCTTGAATGATACAGATTACACATCCAATAATGTAATTAGAAGAACATTATATCTACCTCTCCAAGTATGACAGAAACATTCCCTGCAACAAAGAACAAGAATATGGCAATCTTGCCTGTGCTGATTTCAAGAATGCCACCAAATCTCTAATATCCTGTGTCATCATATATATTTCATCTGCTTCCATCTTTGTGGACCATTCATCTACTAGCCTACAAATCGGAAATGACAGTGTTAATGTGAAATTTAAGAAAACTACCACAGTTTGAAAAAGCAAATAAGAAGCATGCTGAGTCACAAAATGATGCTCGACCTAATGAGAAGCCCTTGTGCATATTAGCAATCAAAGTGTGTACATAAATTGTTTATCTATCTATCTGTGTATATATGCATTTGGTCATTGTACACAAAAATGCAAGACCAGAGTGGAGAAAATTGAAGCTTAGAAATCTCTCACGTTTATATAAGGCTTTGGATGATTCTGGAATCATGTTGAGAAGCTAAACGATAAAAATTTTAGAGCTATTTCATGACTTGTGAATAACATATTCTTCTGGATTGATGTGAGAAATGGCTATTCATAAATCCAAAAGGATTATCTCATGTTTCAAAAAACAAAAACACGTTTGGTTCGTGTGAAAATGTTTTTGAAAAAATTCTCTCATGCGATCAAGTATGGAAATATTTTTACATCAATTAGTTGCCAATTGGCGTGAAAAGATGCACTAAGACCAATTTGCATGAACCTATTCCCACACTTGAACGCGTGAGAATTTTTTCATGTGAAAGTGTTTCCTAGAAAACATTTTTCAGGGGAACCAAACTTGCCCAAGTGAATTGCAACTATAGAGCCAATAGAACCAAAAAACATGTTTCTAAATGTATACTCTGTTTTGTAACCATACAATATATCAGTTCTTAGAGTTTTATCTAGAAACAGGCTTTGAGGTCTGGGATTTTATGCCACCATGGTGGTTAGTCACCCCTTCCCAACCTTCTACACAAGGGGTGAGGTTTGCATAAGGTTGCAACCTTAGACAATCAAAGTATGGTGCATATTCAAATTTTATCATAAGATGCAATTTTGATCCCAAAATTTCTTAGGATGGCCCGAAAATCTCTTTTATATCTAATTATAAAATTGAAAACTCCAAAAATGGTTCAAATCAAGTAGATCTACAAGAAAATCTTAAAAATGGACAGTCAAGATAATGTGTTGCAAGATGTATGATTTTTTGGTACATATATTTTTTTTCCCATATACATACATATCTATGTTGAGATTATCAATTAGATGGTTTTCCAATGTCAAAATAGCCTTTTCCGATAGATTTTTGAGGTGCACCTCAATTCTACAATTTAAGGTGCCAACGTTATATAAACTTTTTCCCGGGGAAGTCACATTTTATGGGGCTATAAATAGCAAATTAAGTAGTACATGATGTAACCATTTCATAAAAGCAAGCATATCTTTCATAAATTTTCTCCAATAATAATAAAAATAACTGAACAATGCAAAAGGAACAAGAAAAAATGCTTGATTTGAAATGCAACCAACCTTGACTCATCCTTGGTAGTTAAGTCATGATCACGGAAGAGCACCTTCACGACAGGTTTAACATGTGGCAAAGCAGCTTCTCCAATATCCCCATTAGTATCCCAGCAATTTCCAGTACAAGACCAAACTTTTGGATTTACGAGAATGAGCTGCAGTACTGGCAATTTTGTTCTTATATCCCTTATCACTGTGCGATATGATACTTCATCCCTTGCACTATCTAAAAGGTGCTTCACAAACACCCTTTGCAGAGTATGGTTCCTGTTTATAGAATGAAAACAGTTGACAGGTCACATTTATTTACAGCAATCAAATGGTTAACGTTTGTGGTTGAAGAAAATCAATTCACAAATACACACCACACATAGAAGAGCCAATTAAGATAACTTTCTAAAGGTGGGGAAGAAAACAGAAGGATAATTAATACCGCCATCTTCTTTGGCCCCCCAAAGGCAAAAGCAGATTAAGCCACAGCCTGAATAGGTCTTCTTTGGCCAAGACAAATAGTTCTAGAAAACAGTACCATCGTGTGCCCCTGCATTCATTTTGGACTTTATGCTATTTCATTCATTTTGTCCTATGGTAATTTTAGTTTAAAAAGGAGAAACCCTCTACCTTTGTTATAGTCATTAAACTTTCGCATGGAATTCAAAGGAATGGCATGTATTCAGCACCTTAGTGGTGGTCTTTGGCTTGAAATCTGCACAGTAAGGATCCATAGAGTAGAATTTTATTACACCCTTTTATCAGTAATTAAATTCCATTCATGAGGCTATAATATGCAAAGTTAATAAAGAGCAATGAGTCAATGACAAAGCCAAGCTACAAATGATTGGCTCTTTATGTATGGAACATGATTATAAAGTGATTGGGGCAAAGCTACAGGGTCCACATGAATAGTCCTGCAGAGCAAGATGGGACGTGTGAATTGCTTTAAGACCATCTCATGAAACTCAGGAGTCTTCCATCAACCAATACCTGGCATATGGATCATGCATAACTCCTCATTCTTGAAAGGAGTGTATGCATCCCCACCTTTGATACATTATAGGTGCATTAACGTCCCGACAAGTGCATTTAATAAGGTCCTGGATAGTGGCTTCCGCCCAAACTGTGACTTGATAGTGAGTTCTCTATGAGAACTGGCACTCTATCGCTCAAGTAGTTGACCATTGCCCTGATACACAACAACGCTTCCTCATAATCACCAAGATGATGATGGTTAACACATAGTTGCAGAACCTCGCACTTGGTAGCACTTCTGCTCTAGCCTAAGTCCAATTCCAGGTCTTTAAATCTTGTTTCCCAGCTTCTTCTTACCTGACCCTCCTAATTACTAACATTCCCCTGCTCTCGGACATGCAACTATAAGTCATCTTGATTGTTGGGCTCCCTCCATAAGCCCCATAAAATTGCAAGGCCACTCAACCTCCATATAATCTGCCCGATGAATTGTTGAGATCAACTATAAGTCATCTTGATTGTTGAGATCAATGGTTTGGGTATTTGTAGGAAATTTTCTGGACTCAAATATATTCCAGAATTCCCAAAAAAAAATTTATACCTCTATGTAGAGAGAGAAATTCATAAAAATAATCATTTAATGATTGGCCATTTATTATACACTCATTATCCTATCATTCTCACTGTTTCTACATAACTTCACATGTCAGCCACTCTTATTCTCTCTCTACAAACTTCATTTCTTACAAACAACTACTTTCTCTCTCGACTCAAATAGATCACTCTTCTCCTCTTCTCTCTCTTACTTTCCACCTTACCACCACTCTCTCTCTTTCTCTACTTAATCATTTACTCTCACGCCACCCACTTCCTCTCTCTCTCTCTCTTCTCTTCTGTCTACTCTTCACACCCAAAAGCCATACCCCATCCCTTATTTATAGGGAGATTAAATTGTCAATGCACCGCCCTCTCCAAAAGCACTGACTTAGATTAGCGGTGTAAAATGTTTCTAAATAAGAAAATATCTAGAGAAGAAATCTCTAGAGAGAGAAAAAGTCTCTAGAAAGAGAAAGAGGCAAAGAGAAGGGGAGGCAAAAGGGGAGAGCCACATGTTGCTCTCTCCCTCAATTCTCCCCCTCAACACTAGCTCTTCTTTGCAACTGATCTTCTAATCATGCCAAGGCTTTCTCTGTGTTTAGCAAATTTGGTAACATTAAGCCCTTATGTAAACATATCAGCAATTTGTTCCTCTATCCTTATCGATGCCAATGTGAGCTCTTCATTTTTTAAGATCTTTTCCCATATTTAATGATGATGCACTATAATATTTGGTCATTGCATATTAAATAAGATTTTAAGCCAATCGACTGGCTGATAGGGTGTCACAAAAGAGTGATACAGGTTTTTCAACTGCCAGATGCAAATTCTTCAACATAAGTGTTAGCCATGTGAATTTCTGTGTAGCCATTGCTGCTGATCTATATTCCGCTTCAATGGTCGACAAGGAATCAGTGGGTTATCTTTTACTACACCAAAAAACTGTTGATGATCCTAGGTTGAAAGAATACCCAATAGTCGATTGGCAAGTTGTTTGGTCACCAGCAAAGTCAGCATCATAGTATCCTGTTAACCCGCAATTTCCCTTCTTATAGAACAATCCGTAGTCTGCAGTACCTTTAATGTATCGTAGGATTCTGCAAACGGCCTCTACATGAGGTTTCCTTGGCTTCCTTGAAGGAGAGAGCAACACTTGGCTCTCTCCTTTTCCCTCCCCTCTTCTTTGCCTCTTTCTCTTTCTAGAGACCTCTTCTCTCTCTAGAAATTTCTTTTCTAGATATTGCTTTATCTAAAAATATTGTACACCGCCAAACTAAGTCGGTGCTTTTGGATAGGGCGGTGCATTGACAATTTAATCTCCCTATAAATAGGGGATAGGGTATGGCATTTGGGTACGAAGAGTAGAAAAAAGAGGAGAGAGAGAGGAAGTGGGTGGCGTGAGAGTAAGAGAGTAAGTAGAGAAACAGAGTGAGTAGTGGTGAAGTGGAAAGGAAGAGAGACAAGGAGAAGAGTGATGTACTTGAGTGGAGAGAGAAAGGGAGAAGTTGTTTATAAGAAATTAAGTTTGTAGAGAAAGAATAAGAGAGGTTGACGTGTGAAGTTGTGTAGAAACAGTGAGAGTGATAGAAAAAGTGAAAGTATAATGAGTGTGTAATAATGCAAAATCATTAAATGATTATTTTTATAAATTTCTCTCTCTATATAGAGATATAAATATTTTACAGGAATTCTGGAACATATTTGAGTGAAGAAAATTTCCTACAGTATCAACTGCATAATGAATAACTCAAATGTGAACTCTAGCCACCTTGTATTGCCAATATAGGTTAATTATGGACTTCAGGACACTTCAGACCCTCTTGGAACATGACTCACATGTTTGAAGTTCATGGACCATATTGCTGTAGGTGATCCACTATGGGCAATTTTACCAATTAAGTTTATTACCCAAAAGCCTGAATTTTTGTCACGCAAACATGAGATATAAAGCAGATGTCTAACATCACTTGTTCTACTTACAACATGGCTTAAAATAATACTGTTAAGAAAACCCAGTGTGTCTGGCCCATGTCACCCTATCCACTTACTCCAATTGGATAAAGACTCATGGCCTCTAAAAGATCTATGTCCTAATCTATCCACCCCCCAATCCACCTAGAGAAAAACTAAGAAGAGACCATGTCACATCCTAAGTGAAAAAAATGCAAATGATGAAGAATTGAAGGACATTGCCACATATATAAAGGGAAACAACCGGTTGACAAGTGGGCATACATATTAAGGATCATGCTTTAAAGGTGCAACTTAAAAATAAAGCTGCACTTGTTGTGAAGGCAGCTAAACATATGGGATGGTGTACAAAGAGATTCTCCTCCAAACAGCAACAACTACCATCCAACTTCTCCTATTGATTACAGGTCTTTCGAATCCCTGCTTGTATATGGACATGGAGAGATTCTCCTCCAAACATCAACAAATACCATCCAACTTCTCCTATTGATTGCAGGTTTTGCGAATCCCTGCTTGTATATGGACATGGAGAAATTTACAGGTCATCACCACTTTGCTTTTCTGGTCATGCGATAAAGGGAAAGATGCGGAAGTCCAAGAAGGAATGTACCGGTTAACAAAATATCTAAGAGCATGGTTCAAAAAGCTGATTCAAGTGATACTGCAAACTGAATTCAAGAGAAGCCAAACACCATATTTTAAAAGAAAAGAAAACAGGGCACCACAATCCTCATGGTCAATCACAATGATATTGTTCTTACTGGAAATGATATTTAAGGTATTTAAACCCTAGAGAACACTTAAAGAGGTGTCCGACATTAAAGATAATAAGACTGCAGAAATTTTTGGCAACCGAAAATGGCATGCTCTAAAAGGTATACTTACCTCTCAGAAAACAACTTTAAATATACAGCTAAATACAGGTAAGGTAGGCTTGGCTCTAAAACAAGAGACAACAATAATCCCAATGCAGATAATTTTGAGACTGTGGTGCCTACTAGAGCTTAATATGGAAGTTTATTCACCAAATCATCACCATACTGGATTCTGCTATGCAATTCGAGCAGTGAGCTGGATTCATCCATGTTCCTTGAGGATTCATTTGGTGGTTATTGACAAGCTATATATTTATCTCAATTTTTTACCAGGGATGGGGATCTCTCTCTCAGAATGGACACCTACACATATCAGCCTCTTCAGGTTGGTTTCCTACTAAGACAATTCACTAAACGTTACCAGACACTTGTTGGAGGCAACCTCGTCGTCGAAGAGTAAGAAGAATATATGGTGGCTGGTCTAGTAAACTATAATAAAGTGATTCTTGAAATCAATTGGAATAAACACCGATATTTATCTTTGTTTTAACTCTTTGACACATGCATAGATTGAAAGGGGAATGAAAGAGCAAGTCATTATTTGTTGCTCCAGGTTGACAGTCGTGGCACAACATTGTCAGAGGCAGTAAGGATTAAGATGCCATTCTCCCTTTAAGTCATGTCCAAGTTGTTCTATTTAGGAGTACATATGTTGTCAGCACTAAAAACTTAATTAGTCTACTTATGTTATTTTTTGTTCACTGATAGCTAAATAGAGGAATCCACATGATTTCATGTTTATGTGGGTATATTTTAGTTGATTGTTTATGTCCTCTTGGGGAATTTTATAATTCCAGAATATCTTTGTTCTTTTTTAATGTTTTCAAAGTAATCATGGAATATGAATAATAAATGATATAATCAAATACCTTTGGCTGGACCGAGCATTGGTTTTTTTAGTTTGGGTAACTAGACCAAGCATTGCCTGGACCAACTTTTTAACGAGGATGTCCTGAAGCATTCCACAGGGTACTTTGGGGGACTTTTTCACATATTTCATATGGTCTTTTGCCTCCTACCAAAATCAGGTCTCAAGGGGATGACCATGGGATTTTAAAGTCAAGTCAGAATAAACTCAAAGCAAAGATATGTTTTTTGGAATTGTTTCTTTTTTAGATATAATAAATTAGGGCCTTCACTAATATTCCATTATAAACCTAAAAGAGACCCCATTTTGGGAGTCCTACAAAGAAGAGACTAGTATTTTGACATTAGTCCGTTCGAGAAGAAACCCTAGGTTAATCAAATTACACATCTTTGTAATTATATTATTCTTCGTATACATTTTGAAAGAAGGTGAGGGACTCCTGACAATTTTTTAGTTTAGGACTTTTTTCAATGTGTAAGAAACAAATACTGATAAATTATTTGAATTCTTTTATATGATGAAATTTTTATTTTTTGTGCAGGAGTATATTCTTGGGAAAGAACTATATTGCTGAATTTAAAAACTTCACTGGCCATAAATTTATCCAAATAAAACGTTCAAGTTGTGTGTGACATGGACAAAACAATTTCCAAGTTCTAACATGGTTCACCTCATGCTACATATGAACTAATTCAACTCAAGATCTTTATAGGTTGTACAGAATTTAACATCCATCTTCCTAAAGGACACGGCTGTGATAACCAAGGTAATTTTCAAATAGCCAAGCATATTTAATCTAGTATCCCACAAGAAAACCGAGCATATTTAGGTTGATTGCCACTTTCTAGGGGAAATATAGTTACAAAGATAAGCACTCCATTAGAATGTCAACTTACCAACATGTTCACTGAAGTGCCTGGAAAGAATTGTTTATAAAGAAAGAATTTTTCTGACAATTATGTTTTGACTAACCACTTGGGAAGAAATATCCGAAATGATTAAAGACCATAATGGGTAAGTCGGGAGTCATGGCAATCAATTTTACAAAAGAAAAAAGGTCGCACTGTACAATATATTGCAGGGGCACTCTTGTCATTCCTTATTGCATTTGTAGCTCATGTGCAATATACCAACTGTTGTAAGAGCATTTATGTTTGATTCCAATTCTCGACAGCTCAACAGAATGAGATTGGCCCATGGAGGCCAGGAAATTCTTCTCTGTTCTCCTAATAATCAACATCCACAAAGAGAGGCTTCAGAGCTCCGTACTAGAAGTACACAAAATGCATGATTGTACATGAGTTGCACCCTGCCCTCCTTTCCCTAGTAAGCTCGTAATGTTTTCACTTTGGAAATAAAGCACTTATACCATCTAACCATAAATGAAGAGTGCAATCCTTTTCACAGTTAAAATATAAAGAATAATGTACTAACCTGAATATGTCATCTGGTCCACCAACCTTATCACTAGTCGAGATATGGCATTTGAACAACCGAATTCCATCATCAAGAGGGAACTTGTCCTCTCCAACAGAAGGATATGATCCAACAAGCAAGGAGCACTGAGCACACAAAAATTCAGTCCAACGAACGCTATTTGCAGTACTGGAGACTCTAATGATAAATCCACTACCCAAAGAGGCATTTGAATAATTAAAATTATTTCCCTCTCCATGTTCTCTTGCTCCCAGAAATCCAACTGAACTCTCCTTAACAGTCAAGGATTTTACCATCTCTTCAAAAAAATGACCATTGCCAGCACATTCATTGCCACAGAATTGACCGAGTTTTTCAAGTTTCCCAGATTCTAGGTTAAGACCAGTGAATTTGTTTGTGTTGACAGGATCAATCTGAGCTTCATGCTTCTTGGTTTTACTTTCATTATCAGAAAATGGATGATCAGTAAGATCGTCCTTGCAAATAACAACAGATGTGCAATCTAGATGGCATATACCCTTCATACAATACAAGGAATTTTCATATACAGATGCCAGTTTCTCACTTGCACCTCCAAATGAACAGCAACAGGATCCAAACCAATTATCAGCTGATTCACGCCAGTTCACGGATGGCATTTCCACAAATGATCTGCAAAAAGTGAAAAAGTTTCAAACATCTAACCATATTTTTCTTCCCAAAAAAAATAAAATAAATCAAATAACTTTATGCCACAAAACTTCTGTCATAAATGGTAACAAAATAAATTATAGAGTTACAGAAGACTGCACAGAATATCTGGCTTTTTTTTTTCGGTGAATAACCATCTGGAATCAAAAACTTAATAACTAATACCAGGATCTCAATAAGATATTCCAACATATACAAGTGAAACTATCGTGAACTGCAGGAATTTTGCTCAAAGATGCAAATGACGTTGCTTCTCTCTCCACCCTCCCTCTCTACACCCCTAAGATGCATGACAGTATAGTAGCTGCATTTTAAAAATGAAGCAACAGAGCATCAAAAGCATAAGCATAGCCAGAAGAACAAACAGAAGGAGGATTCTAGAGCTTATCCATCTACATAAAATCTCTGAATGTATTAGGGTTTTCAGGCCTTTAAAGGCCTAGAATGTTTGTAAATAAAATTATTTATAGTGATTTGTGCACATCAGTGGGAGTGTACTTGGCAACCGAGCTAGTGTTGGACGGTCTATGGCCCAGGTCATGTCTAAAACCCTTACCCTTGGGCATATGACACTATTGTTGAAGGTTTATTGTGAGTCATCCCTTGTTGAGGTCGAAAAAATGCCTAAAGACGTTATTTGTAGGCCAGGAGAGTTGTGTGGTTTCTTGTGTGCAGTTAAAAGGCTTATAGAGCGAGGGCCGAATCCCCAACAAAATTCACACAACATGTGCATACAACAACTGTGCTTTGGAAATCAACCCTATATAGAGGGATACGTGTACAGGTGCCAAAAGAGAGCGCCTCCTGCACGACAATGATGAATGCATTTTGACTTGCTTTTAGGGGAAAACTTGTAATCCACATACTGGGACTATAGTTCCACTATTTATTAGCTAACTTTGAATCAAAAGCCCCTACTCTTGATTGTGGGTCATGGGTCATGATGGGTTGATTTGAGAAGACGATAGTGGATCATAGATCCTAGCACAGGTGGAGTGCCATTTGCTTGTTATTTGACCAATTAGGTACCTATCCACTTCTAAGTTGTAATTCTGTGTGTTGCAGATTTTCAACTAAATTTGTGTTACTATGAATTTTAGATATTTTCAGGGATTTAAAATTTTTTATTTGCTTAAAAAACTTAAAATGGTATTCATGGATTTTTTTAAAATTACAAGGGTATATTGGATATTTGTTAAATTATGACCCATGAGGAGGGGCTAAAGGCCCAACCCCTCACATGTGGGCCCCACATGGGGGAGTCATGAGGGGCACACTAGGGCCACACGTTCGTCTTTATGGGATGCCAGATTTATTTGGCACATGTTTTTTAAATTGAGATAATAATATCTTATTTTGTGTTTTAGAAATATTTTCTAAAGAAAATTTTATTTGAACAAAAATATTCTTTAAGAAATCTTTTGTGAGATTTTTTGTATCTAATTTACCTTTGGCCGATTTGAATTAATTTGAATTTCCTTATTATCCCTTTGTGAAAGAAAAGTAATTGTAGATAGTTTTAGAAGATTATGTTTGACTGGTCAAAGTTCTAGATGGATTAAAAGTAAATATGGGTCAAACCTCAGGGGATAAAGTTCATAAAGATTCGCTCTAGATCACAATGGCTGATCTTGGAGATGAATGGCTCAAATTAAATCTTCTCTCTCACCTCACAGATCACCTAATAATCCTAGATAATGTTGAACTCCAGATCTGACTAGGACTCGCTAAGCCCTAGTGGCCAATAAATAGGGGGAGAGGCTCCCCCTCATTCATCATATCTTACCTCTCTCGTCTCTCTCTCCTCTTCACGCCATTCTCTCTCATCTCTCTCTCGCTCTAGATCCTCTCTCTCTTCTCTCTAGAAGGTGGCACGCCACCCCCAATAAGTGTTGGGGTGGCATGCACCTCAAAGGAGAAGTCAAGGAGGGGGCCACGCCCAACCCTCTTGTTTTAGAATATGGAGAGGTGCCATCTTGGCATGCCCCTAGGTTGAAAGAGTTCTTAGTGAAGCACTAATTGTAACCTTAGCTCTCTTGCCCCATAAGTCTTAAAAAGGGTGCCCCAAAAGTGCTTCTCAGTTTCAGATTGGTCGATTTAGCAGGTTCTAGGATCAAATGCGCCATTGGTGGGGTGCACTAAGCTTTAAAGGGGCGGCAACCCTAGGCAAAAAGTCGATTAGTCGTCCCATTTGTATTTAATTCCTTTTACTATTGCTCTTGTTTATTTATTTCCTAAATTGTTAAGTTTGTATTAAGTTTTGAATAAAGTTTATTTTTGGCAGTAAGCTATTAAGATCCTAGATTGCAGAAGGCCTTTTTTGTTTTTGAAATTTAAATGCTTATGTTTGCATTCAGTTTTGAATAAAGTTTATTTTTGGCAGCAAGTTATTAAGATCCTAGAATGTAGAAGGCCCTTTTTTTGTAATTTTCCACCTAAGTAGAATCTCCAGCAATTAATAAAAGAAAACAAAAATGTTTTTGAATTTCCAGCCTGGAATAAGAATGCCATTTCTTTCCGAATGTACACACGACTCTGACATTTATTTTGTTCTTAGAAAACTATGTTGTTCTAAAATGCTAAGAAAGGAAAAGAAAACATTGAGATCACAACTCCATCAAAGCTAGCTCAACCAACCATGTACAAAACTCTGATCGAAGACAAGGTACTCCCATTTCACATGCATCACAAAGCCATGCTTAACAAAGTGTTATGTAAATCTGTATTGGGACGAGCCCAATGCTGATATGACATGTATCGGACGATATATCAGGTGTGAAATCAGGAAATCAAAATAATAGTTCTTTAAACTATTGGTGTAACAAGCAATCTTTTGAAATTATCGTATATAATGGAATTTATAATGTATATAACCAAGGCAATATTCTTTTTATTTCATACATGTGTTAAAAATAACGGATGTACCACTGATAAAATGAGCAATGTTTTTTTCAAATAATGTTAGATATTATGGGATTTATGTTGTCTTGTTTTAAAAGAAATTTGAAAAATATATATCAGCAATCATGCCAAAATATAGTAAAAGATGATTTTTAAAAATAAAAAAAAACCATAATCGACCAAATCAGGTGATTTTGACTTTATATAGTGGACTGTCGCAATCCAGATCACATGCTGGAAGTGGAAGTAGAGCAGGATTGGAGGATCATCAATGGCTAGAAGTTCCCGAGTTTACGAGTGCCCATACAATAAATAAACAAACATATATTATATATAATTAAAATCGTATAAAAAGATACCTTTGTTTGTTGCTATATTATTAAATTTACCGAGCACAACTTACATAGCAAAAAATCCACCAAAAAAAAAAAAAATCTGTTGAGACACAACGACACAACATTGTAGGGAAATTGATTTACCATCGAGGATTAAACCCTTATAAAGCATAAAAGTACATTTAAAATTTTGAAGTATATGTCTCTTTTAATCTATCTTCCCCATATGCTCACCAGGCAGCTGAGAGTATCCAAGCCAAGGCTCATAATGAACCTTGTGTGGGTTGAAACCATAGTTGTTGGAAATGCCTGAGGACCCGAATCGTTTCAGGAACAGGAATCGCGGAATCGTGCCTAGCCAGAAGTTTCCCATTGTAGGAATCGTTGTCCGTACAATAGGAATCGCTGGGAACGAGATTCCTAATTTTCAGGTATCGAGTATCGATCGAAATAGGTCCAAGTTTCATCCACATATGGAATTGAGATTCCTGCCTCCTTGGAATCCAGATTCCCATCCCCCTGGGTTCGACACTCCAAGTGTCAAGTTTCATGAATATGCGGAATCGAGTTTCCATCATCGATGGAATCGAGTTTTCGACATATGCGGAATCGAGTTTCCATCATTTATGGAATCGTGATTCTAACATATTTGGAATCGAGTTTCTATCATCTATGGAATCGTGTCTCTAACATATTTGGAATCAAGTTTCTGAAGTATATGGATCAGAGATCCATGCTGGTTTGAGATCAAGAATTAAAATATCAGAATCGAGTTTCCGACATCGCTTGATTCGAGTTTCTGACATATGTGGTACATAGATATGTTGTTGTGTAGAATCGTCAGTCCATGTGTGTTGCTTTATATGTTATTAAATGATCTTAATATTTTATACGCATTTAAATTAGAGGCGAATAAATAAAATTAACATTATTAATAACCACTTTACATTCAGTATTTCAATACTAAGCAATGTTGCAAGGCTACACATGGTATAAGATCACTTAAGCAGCCTTTTCTGATAACATATGAGCAAGATTAACAAACCAAGGCAGTCTACATCACCGTAAATATAAGAAACATTATTCTATGGGCATTTAAATCAGGAAAAAAAAAAAGTAAAAATAACATTACTTAATAACAATTTTGCAATCAGTAGTACAGTACTAAGCAATGTTGCAAGGCGAGACGTGGTGCAAGTTCACTTAAGCAATTCACATAACTATGACCAAGGTAAAGAAACTATAGCAATTTACATTAACGCAACTATAAGAAACATAATAAAGATAACTAAAAAAGCACCATAATCTCATTAAATTCCTTCTAAAATACATGCCTTATAAATAATAAGGCCCCCTTCGAGTACACATGTTGCCTAATGCCATCGTTTGGGACCTTAAAGCATGATATCCACTAGAAAATAAAACATTACTTTTGTGGTTATTATTTACAAGAAACCAATGTTTTATACTGTGTAGATGATTCAAAACCCTAACAAAACGAGTTCCATTACTTGTAGAATCATGTATCATTTAACATGGAATCAAGATTTAAATCTCGATAGAAGCCAGATTCAATCTATTTGGGAGCATCTACCCACAACTAGGGGGTTCACGTTTCTCTAAATCTGTTGGATCGAGATTCCGAAATTAAAGAATCGAGTTTCCTTGATTCCAAAAATATATTTAAAAGAAGTGTTGAATCGAGATTCCGAAATTAAGGAATTG